GCCTATTCATTGTTAACTTGTTTTCCCAAAGAATTTAGAATGGTAGAAAGGACAATATCAACAGCCAAAAGGAGTTAAACAGGTGGCACAAAGTGCTGAATTGAGTGTCAAAGGACAAGAATGTCCTAACTGACACTCAGCCATCCTAGAAGAGCATTTAACAATCCCTCAGAAGGATGAGATGTTCATTATGCTCAGGAGGCTTAGAAGGAAGAGCATTAAATTCTCAGGAGCCCGAGCATTTAATACTGGAGCTTCCCCTACGCAAAGCATGAGGTGCTCTCCTTAATGACTGAACACTACCTACAGCCTCTCAATAGACCAATGAAAAGCCTCTTCTTGACGTGACCCACCTGTCGGTAATGATGACCTCTATGAAAGTATAAATAGTTACAAAAAACTAAGGGCAGAGGTATGCAATCTTACCCCAAAACACACAACAGTGTTTTTTCTTTCCCCTCTCTCACAAACTGACTTGACCGTCAAAGAGGATATGTCGAAAAACACTCTGGCGCCTTTCTAGCATTTCTCTTAAATGCTAGAAGACGCCGCCTTCGGCTCATCGGAATTGATCAAATAGCTGGAAAAATAATTCATCATCACTCCTTAGACCATTTTTGGCGTTCCTTTGCCACAAGATCGTCAACTTTCTAGGTAATCTCGAATTCACCAAGGGAGAGAACTGTCTTTTTATTTATTGTACGAAAATCACCGCGCACAGTTTGGCATCGTCTATGGGAAACGACCAAACTTTCCCAAGAACAATGACCATGGCGAATACTCATCAAAAGGGAAAAGATCCTCAGCAAAGGAACGCATATTTTTCGGCTCTCTTTGTGTCGAGAATGGAGGATCACGTCGAAAGTGTCAACAAGGAACTCCCCGTTCATTCTTGAGAAAGGACCCGCCAAACTAATCTGAGTATCGAGGCTAAAAGGGGTGCCCCCTTAGCCTGTCAACTTGCTTATTTGATTGAGGAATGGTTGGGAGATCGACTATGACAATTAGAGGAGGACAATGTGAACGTCCTCAATCGAATCGATAAATTTGCACTTTCCAGTAGGGGATCTCAAGACTGGCGACAATCAAGGGAGCCCTCTGTCAGGGAGGTGGGAGTCAAGATTTTAAGTAACCGCCTGAGTGGTGGAGCAAGGAGCTCCAAGGCTCCGAAGCTCCTAAGGGCCGAGGAACAATACCCGAAGGTCCCAGCCAAGAAAACTAAACTATTGGCTTGGAATAACCTTCATCAGAAACTGTCCAGACAAGGGGGCATGGAGGAGTCAGAGGAGGGGTCAACCCTCTCCGTGCGGAATGCTGGAACTGTGGGGCATGATGACCAATGCCGAGGAGCTAGAGAAATGCGTCCCAAGCAAGAGGGAGACCTCAGGGTACAGTTGGATTCTATGAGAGGGGATAAGGCCACACTAGAGGATGACACAAATGACGAAGTTATTCAGTCACCCTTCACTAGGAATATCATGGAGATGGAGGTGTCAAAGAAGTTTGCGATACCGAGATTCAAAGTTTATGATGGACCCTCTGACCCGTAGGCTCACCTTAGACAATACAAACAGATGATGTCCCTATACCTCTCAGATCACCAACTGCTAGCCAGGTGTTCTCAATGAGCCTGGGGGACATTATCATAAAATGGTTTGAAATCCTTCCACCCCCACAGCATATGGTCTTGGAATGAGCTCACCAGACAATTTTTTGCCCAATTCATCACAGGGAGCAAGTGCCCCAAGGATTGTCAAAAGGTTCACATGATGTTTGTGAATTATTCTCTTGAGATCCTACTCTTGATTATTTGTTACCAATGATCTTGAACAAAGCTCCATAAATAGACCAAAGAGAAAGAGAAAGAGAGACTGAAATCAATCTAACAAATATCAAACACCAAATGGTGTGAAAAGTGACCAGATGTGAACAGATCGAGATCGAAGACTAGATGAAGGCTTGGGCAGGACTCATGAACGGGATGATATGCAGATCTAGGGGACACACATGCTTCATTTCTCATAGACAGCGTCAAATTGTGCTGGGAAAAATTTGCACAATCACTGAAATATTGAAGGTGCACCCCTGATCTTTGAGTATCATCCAATCTAAGTTGTAAGGCAGGAAAAAGTTAGAGAGACTATTGGCGTTGAGCCAAGGGAGGCCCACCCAATACCTAAGTCAGTATTGCGATCAATACGTGAATAGGCTAGTGTATAAAGCTAAAAAAGTGAACAAAAGTGTGTGTGTGGAGTATGGGACCAAGGTGATCATACTTGAGGCCTCCCTACCTTTGGGTCTTCGCCCATCTTTATAGAGAAAATGGAGAGCTACTTACCGTTGAGAGGTCATGCTCCTTGGGTTGATACATTCTTGAGATATGTCTCTACAAGTATTAAAAATTATGCTCGACTCCAATTGGTCAATCAACGAGGCTTACAGCTTTGTCTTGAGAAGATAAATCATGGGTTTTATTATGATACACCCAAGTGATGTTCGGCCCTCTCCATTGATGCAAGATATGGTCCATCACATGGACATAAAAACGAAATTAGACAAGGCAAAATTTAGAAGAGAGAAAAGACAAAAAACAGGAGATTTTTTTGAGGTGTGTGAGTAAGCTTAAGAAGATGACAAAACTAGTTATTCCTAGTGGTAGAATTGAGAGAGATAAGGGGGAGTAAGAAAGAAATAAAACGAAAAGACAGAGAGTGACTCTTAAGTGAACATGGTTGGTTGCAAACATGCATCTTTTCGTTTCTCAAGTCGACAATTTAGTGGGATAGTGGAAGTAATTAGTGGTGATGATTAGCATTAATTTTAAAGGATAAGGATGACATAGTTGTAGTATTAGAGGGCAAAGGTGAAAAATTTTATTTTTTCATGTATGCTAGTATTTTAAAGTAGTATAGATATAATTATGAAGTATAAGCTACTTATATGGAATGTTTGAAAACTATGGGATGTATTTGTAGTATGTTTGAAAACTATGGGATGATCAGTAATTGATTGTTGTACTAACTTTTTAATAGCATGGAATTATATTAATGTATACAAGCTAATCACAAAAAAAACAAAAAAATAAAACAAAACAAAACAAAATAAAATTATAAGTGTTACAACCGAACAAGTTTTCTGTGTTTGTTTTCAAATTTTTTAACAACTACCAAAAAAAAACACCAAAAACATTTTTAGTTTTTGTTTTTCGCTAATGAAAATTCAAAACTGATTCTGTTTTTCGTTTTTTAGAAAACCAAAAACGTAAACATTTTCAAATGAGCCCTAAATAACACATTTATTTTTTTATGGAATGCACTTGAATCGGGAGACGACTTATGAAGAAAATTTGAAATAAATATTAGAAAAAATCACACTAACAAGAATGCTCAAATATTTCTCAGATTAGAAGATGCAGAAGATGGACGGGTTACCTTGAACTAGGGGAGTGGTGATAGGGGCCATATTGACATACGATTGCAATAAACTGCCCCCTTTGAGGCAGCATTATTTGAGTCACAAGAACCCCCCTGCTGGATCATTCATCCTATAAACTATGCAACATCATTTGAGAAGCAAACTATAAATTACTGCGTAAAAAGAACGAGAAAAAATTTCATCTAAACAAGCCCAGATTATTCCACTACGAAGGAATGTCTTAACCCAGGACTATTTAATAGGAACAATTAATCATCATTTGGGTCTCAGAAATTAGTTTATCTCAGCACATTCTTCATCCTCTTTCTTACCTCCCCTTACTAATAGAAAAGGGTGGGGTTGAGATAGGTGAAGGTTTAGGCTTAGGGATAGTGATGGTGGCGTGTACGTGGTTCTATGGGTTCAATGGAGGCGTGATAATGAGAATAGGTCTTGGGGTAAGTTGAAGAAGGATGGTAAAGAGCTATGCCTCAGGCTTACTTCTAGGGTGGGTTGGCGGTGGACAATTATATTACATCAAAGACAAAAAAAAGAGAGGGAAAAGAAAGTCCCAGTCGCGAATGTAAATCTTGACCTTTCATAGAACATGGTAGAAAAACATGACATTAATTGGACAGTAAATAAGACAGAAAAGGATATTATAACTTGAATGATGAAATCCTTCTAACAAAATAATTTTTTTTTGAGTAATGCTACATGGACTTAACAAGTAGACTTAAAAACTAGACTTGATAATCTCAATCATTGATTTCACTGTATTTCTCAGCATTTATTGGAACTCATTACCTATTTAATAATTGAGATTATCAAATCTAATTTTTAAATCTTCTTTTTAAGTCCATGTAGCATTACTCTAATTTGTTTTTATCGTTCTACAAGAATAGTTGAAAAGATGATAACTACAGATACTCTGTAATGGCAACGACTTCATAAAACAACTATTTCACATTCCACAACCCAATGAAAGCAAAAACTTGTGGGGCAAAAAAAAAAAAAACAAAAATATCTGCTCAATTTGGACATAAAAAAGATCAAGGAGACTAAAGGAGCTTCCACCGAACTCAAACAGCTCAGTGATCCAGAGTCTTCCTTTTTTTCTCCAGATGAATGGTAAAAGTGTGTCAAGCACATGAACAGAAAAAAAATTCCTCATGTCAGCAACTGGTGAATAAAATTGCAAAAATGAGAATACAGCCCCCCTTTGAGCCATGAGAAAATCCAAAAAGAAGTACAGTTACAAAGGAGAAATAGAGTTACAAAGAAGGAACTCCTCTAATCAACAAAACTTCATTTTATTCTCTAAAATAGAAGTATAAAAATTAGGGAGGTTAAAATAAACCTCAGAAAATCAACAAAACCCTTAACAATCCAGATGTATATAAATGTTGCTATACTTTAAAATGATGTTTCAAAAATCTCTGTAATTGATCTAATTTACACAGAATTTTCCGAAATATATCAACCGATTTTCTCTGGAGGGATCAAAACTATTGTAAAAGGAACAGAGTCTAATCATCTCCACTGATCAACCAAAACGACTGCAGCCAGCATCATATGAAGGATACTCAGCAAGATATGTGATTAGAACCATAGCTAATTGCTCTTAGGCTTGAATCATTCATATTTGTCATCCATTGGTGAGGGCCTTTAGATTCTCCCAATATATTATAGGCATAGGATGGCGACCTTACATCCATGCCACATGAACTTGAAACACCTGTTCTGATCATCTTCTGTGTTCTCTCAAGCACTACGAGGCTCGAAAATGTAGAATAGCTGTTCCCCACAAACACATTGGATCTTAAGCAAACTTCATAGTCAATGGCTGACTGAATGAGATATGGGTACTTCTTGTAAATCTCCAGGACACCCAATTTCTTCTTCTCATAAGGAAGCAACCCTGCCTTCCAACCATTCAAGATAGACTTATCTTCAAGAAGAGTATCTGCCACAGCAAGGTAAGCAACGATTGGGGTTTCCAGGCCCTTAATGTTGCTCACTCTTTCCATGATCTCCTCCTTGCTACTACAAATTTCACTTGTGTTTGATCTTTGCTCCATTTTCTTACAATGAATCATCCAGTCTTTTTCTATTCTCATGTGGACAGCTACATAGGGTACTTGCTGTAATATGGAGCTTTCTGAATCAATGTGATTTTCAAAAAATCCTACTTGGGTTCTTGCCTCTCTTCCTATCTTTCTAATCTTGGAGACAACTTTATCTGCTTCTATCAAAAATTCATCCACTAAAACTAAGCACTCAAAAACCTTGGCATAGTCTTTAACTGGCCAGTGATCGTGCCACAGAAACGGGTTCTTCCCTACAATTCGCATTATCTCATGCCCATCATATGGATCCTTGCTGAACTCTCTCAATTGATCCAAATCTCTGTCAACTGTCCACCTCCTTCCACTTCCCTTTTGCATCTCAAAAACATCACTTCGATTCGAAATATCAGAATATCGACCCAATTGAACAAAGCCATTGCAAAGCGAGTTGAACCTCTCAAATTGGAAGACCTTATCAAAGGAAATGGGTTCCAAGAGATCAATCTCTTTATAAAAGAGTGAAGCACTTAGGCTAGGCATTAAAAGAGTTCGATTCAGCATTCTGGCAGTAAGGCAAGCTCTCACAAAAGCAATCTTCTGATTGTTTAAACCCCAGACAATCTGAGGCACCTCCAAGAACTTATATTTCCTAATTCCAGATTCTGAAGTTAATGACAAGGAACGATTGTTGATCACCAACGAGTTGTTTTGTTCAATCCCACTAAAGCCAGAAAATGCAGGGAGTAAAACAGCTCTCAGAACCAGAGCTATGACAACTAAAGCAAGACATTTACATGCTACAGAATTCAAATGGGGACCGAAGAATCTCATGTGCTTGCAATTCGACAAGTCCATTTCAGCCGATCTTCAATACCCAGTGATCCATCTATTCTTACCATACAAAATTATAGGATTTCTCAACCAAAATTGTAGTTCAACAAATGAAAACTGACCCATTTCGATTTTTTTAAAAGTCAATTTCTCGTATTCTCCGCCGGTAACCTAGTCCTTGCAACGCGTCCAAGTCACGACATATCACAGAGAAAACAAACAATCCAATTCATTCCAGAGTTTTCTTTTTAACATTCAAGAACTGCAGTACCAGAAACGAAAAAAAAAAACTGTAAGAACAAGAATATATCCTGTTTTCACACCTTAATACAGCTGAAAAGAATGGAAAAGCTTCAACACCCAATTAAACCCAAACGCCAATCTCAATTCAGAAAGAGCCAGAGAAGCCCACGAGAGAGAATTAATCGGCATATATAAGTGCGAGAAATCAGAACGCCATCAAATCTTATATCCTTTTCACCAGAAATTCGGAAGGAACGCCAGATACTCCGTAACTTGATGCATGCAACCCTAAACACCGAGAGAAAGAGAGAGAGACAGACAGAGACAGAGAGAGACAGAGAGAAGTATCAAATTTTAAAGTAAGTGATTGAAGGAATCTGACCTTTCAATTCCGCTCTCTGAAACTAAGCAAACACAGCGATTCCACGACAAAACGCATGATTCCAAAGCGGTTTCAGAGATAAAGAAATCTGAATTGTGAAGAAAGCCAGATAAGAATGTTGAAAGATGATGATCATGCGTGGAGAAGAATCCGGAAAAGGTTACTCCTAAGCCGAAAGACGAGCAACTAGTCATAGTCATGCCAATTGCCAATTGCCAATTAAGAACAATAAAGGGTAAATTATAATAGTAATGCTGAACAAATTTTGGTACCAAATTTAGAGCGCAAATGACATAGTAGTTGATTTGGAATTCTTTGATTAGTGTATGTTATTTGAACTCCAATAAAAACTTCAAATAATTAACTGTCATGTCATTTGGGCTATAAATTTGATCGGTGTAACATTACTCAAATTATAATGTATGCCCTTAAAATATAGTTAATTTTATTTGGTCATTAAAATTTTAATTACAATAATTAAATACTTAAAATTTTAATAAAAAAATAAGATAGCAAACCTAAAAAAAAAATACAAAGTGACAATTTAAGAGATATCGTAAAACTGAGATAAAAATATCAGAATATTTGAAAAAATATTTTTAACTAGATAAATATCCTCTCATAGACAATTTTTTATCGGTACAAATTAATAGATCTGGATGGAAGGATCGAATTAAAATTGATTAAAATTTTAAGTGTGTAATTGTTAAAATTAAAATTTTAAAAACCAAATAAACATTAAATTCTTAATACTTTAAGAATATTAATTATAAATTACCCAATAATAAAACTCTAGAAGCAGCATATTCTAAAATGGAAAATAGCAAATTCTTAATATCTATAAAGATTAATATTCTCACCTTACACTCTTAATCCAAAAAAAAAGTTCAAAAGTAAATATTCTTTTTTTTTTGACAATATTTGTTGTTATATTTGTCATATTATAATATTTTTATATACAACTGTTTATATCATTTTCAATTTTAAATATTTTCAATGGAATTTTGGCATTTAATTTTTTTAAAATGGAGCACATGACTATATTTGTTTTTTATTAAAGGTGCAATATAAGAATTTCAATCTTTTAAGAAAATGCTAAGATCTTAAAGAATGCAAAATGCCTTAATATTCAACTTTCATCACTTAATAGGAAAACCAAATCGACAGATACGTAAATTGGAACTGACAAAAACAAAACCCGTATTTAGTGTCAACATGAGAAATGCACAACCTATTTCCATAACCAATTGGTTATGGTAAGTGTAAGTGAAAAAACAGTAAGAAATTTAAATGGTCTGAAGTAATCCTAATACGACAAAAGAGCCAAGCGAAACATGTAACCATATGGCACATGGATGGGGCTAATCATAATTTATTGTTAATAAACGGGACATACGTGAATTGTCTGGGACAGGTTGGTCCTGGGGTGGGAACCTTGTGACCTGTGAGCTGTGAGTTGAGAGGGAATCCATTTAATTTGATTGCCAATAATGCCCTTGTAATTCATGTATTTATTAATCTTTCTTTCTATTCTAATATAATTAATTTCTTGGCTACGAATTCATTCCTCGAGCTTCCCAAAATGCGAGTCCACGATGTCCGGCGTAAGTTGCGATCCAGGTAGGGTTTGTGATCGGATCAAAATTTGACATGCATTAGTTCATCTTCGATCTTTATCAAAACTCTTACTTAAATTTAAATTTATTTAAAAATAACCTATAAATAATTTACAGTTATTTATTCAAATTCATATCAAATGAAGATAGACTTAAATTTTTATTTAAGTTAAGAGAGATTTAATTCTTCAATGGTCATATTACACTTTTTTAAAAGATTTAATAGTCAAATTTCATCTTACCTTTTTTTTAATACTTATAAAAAATGGTGGGGAAAAGAAGAGTGTCCAGTGACCATCCCCCGATACGGTCTCATTGGTGGAATCACGAGACCCCTGATTACACCAGTTACTCATCTCGGAAACAAACCTAATTATGTTAGCATAGCAGTTAACCACCGAGTACAAATGTTGACTCTAAAACTTGAACCACCAATCTCAATATGAGAAATTCGGTCAGTATCCCATTGGACCACCCCCACTCGATTATTTCAGCTTACTTTAAATTTGAGTTTGTCCTCTTTTAATTTTGAATTTGTCCATTGAAATATCTTTACTCAAATTTGAATCAACATTGAAAATAACCTTAGTATTTTTGATTGATATTGTGAATCCAAATCCAATTCAATTGGCATCATTTTTCACATCTCAAATGTGGATATATCAATATCTAATTATATGGTAGTATAAGTTCTATTATATATTATGCATATGATATGTGATGAAATTAATCGATTATTTTATAGAACTTGTTGAATCATATTTAACGATCTGAATTTCAGTGTTAACTGAGTTATACTAATCAATTTGAATAATTGGATTAGATTTTAATTTTTAACAGATTCATACGGGGTGTATAAAAATAAAAATCATGTGGTGTACAAATTATATTAGAAAAACAAATTTTCAAAATATATTCAGAATTCAATTGATATAAATCTAATTTATTGATGTGCCTGTTTCCCAATTTTTTATTCAAATTTAAACTCTATGGCCACTAAACTATGAACCAAGTTTCACATTGTTCTATAACCAATTTGGGTTTTTTTTTTTCCGATTCCCTATCCCCTCAAGGGTTAATCACAAATTATACTCCAAAAAAATTGTTCAATTTTTAATTTGTACTCTCAAAAATCAAAAATCTCAATTTGTACCCTCAAAAATAGAAATTTGTATAAATACAAACCCAAAACCGTATAAAACTAAATGGATAAATTATACTTAGATCTCTTATTCTTGTCAGTTAATCATTTGGACTCCCTCATATTTAAAATATTACTCCTACACTTCCTAATATTTGTGCACGTGTAACACATAATACCTTATTGTTTATATTTGTTAATATAACCGTTAAAAAGTATGATTTTATCTTAATAAAAAATTATAATTTTCATACTATCATTTATTTTGTGGACCCGTTATACTCTAAAGTTTAAAATCAAACTTTTCATTTGAATGACCAATATAATACAAGTATTTATATAATATTTTTTATATCTAATTTATATAATACTTAAACATCATTATTTGGATGTCAAATTGGAGGAATATTTTCAGTCATATTTGGATTACAAAAGGATGTAGATGCTGTATTTTAAATGTGAGAGGTCCAGTTGATTAAGTGACAAGTATAAGGGGATTTAGGTATAATGTATCAATTTAATTTGAGACGATAAACTAATTGTAGTTTGGTTGAGGCGTATTGATACAGATTTCTATTTAGGAGGGTATAAATTAAAATTTTGATATTTGCTGATATAAATTAAAATTTAAACAATCTTTCGGTGTATAATTTGAGATTAAACAAAAATAAAAATAAAAATAGGGCATCCGAAGTCCACATCTTGTGACTTTTGGGTCATTAGCCAAACCGTACTTTTGTATTATTTTTCAGTCTGAAAAGACAAAATATAAAGTAAAAGACTACTTTACCGTCATAATTATAGATTCATAACATGTTTGTCGGCTCCCGTAGCGAGACCAACAGCCCATGGCTTCAATAATTTAGGAGAGGACCTCATGTAGAACTCCGGTGAGGTAACGACGAAAGAGATGGCAGTGGGTATGGCATTTTAGGTCTTCGCTAGTTAACGGGAACTCTGCGGGAGAAATTAGCTTAATTGTACATAATTTTAATTAATAAATTAATCTTTAGATCACAAACTAACAAGAATAAATAAATAAATATAAATATAAATTAATTTATAATAGAATAAAATAAATACTATAAATTAGAAAGAGATAATCTGCAAATCCGAAAGTTGTGTGAACACTATCGTAAAACAGCTAAACCTTACAACGTGAGGATATTAACGGACATCAACGACTCCAAGGTCAAATTCAGACGCTCGCAGCAGTATCTCCACAATGATCATGCCTATTAAAAATAAAGGGTGAACCTGACTCGAATCGAAATTACCCAAAATACAAAAAAATATGCAAGTAGGTATAGAGGATAAAATACGGTAGAAGGAAAGGTCTTTTTGGAGTAACGTTGGGAATAAGGATAAATTTGTCCGCACATTGCGGGTTCGTTTGGTTATCGTATTAGAAATGAACGGATTAACTAAATTAATCTTATCTAATACAATACACAAGAACAAAAGACAAGATTAAATAAGATATTAGAATAATACGTAATTTTATCTAGTGTTTGACAATACAAAACATAAACGTTAGATAATAGTTATTTAATTTAATCGATTGTTTTGTTAGGTAATTATTTCATCGTATTAATGTTGAATTAACAAAAATATCTCCAATCAATATTCATTACATTGATGACGGTTTGATTTTATCAGTTGAGATGTTATAATAGTAAATGTATAGAATAATACGTTTGAGTTGGATTATAATATCACATCTCTTGTTGGTATTAAAATACTTCCATAATACATATTTATCTTACAAAAAATATACGATTAGTGTATATTTTTTAAATTAATACAGTATAAAATTTGTTTACCAAATATAATATTAGACTCAATTAAATAAAAAATAATATAATATAATATTTAATCTCTTCATAATTCGTTTATCAAAAGAGCCCTACATAGTTTTCTTATATAACACTTTAGAAGGCTTAATTGAGATTAATGGCTTTTAAAGCTCTTAACGGTTAGTAAAAAGTCTAGAGACATTGTTACAACTCATTAAATGGACATAAAAAATCCATAAAAAAAAACATTACCAATCATCCTATTAAAATACAACAAATAAAAATTGAAAATTAAATAAAATAGAACAATAATAATAATAATAAAATCAATCACAAGTTTTAAAACTTTTTATTTTATTCTAACAATTCTCCACAAGTTTTAAAACTTTGAAATATATGAAATATATAAACATATAAATTTTTGGGTAACTATTATATTGTGTAATAAGTGTATGTGTCTTTCGACTTAAACATCCCTTAGTGTTGACAGTCTCCTTATGAAGGATCATAGTGAACTACATCTTGAACTAAACCATTTGAATTAGAGTTTTAACATGTCACACACACAGTACCGATATTGGTCATGAATTCGCAGGTCAGTGCGATTAATAGTCACACTTGATCTTG